GCCTGATAGCTGAAGGCTCTGGCTCCTGATCTACTTTTGGAGACTTTAGGGACCATGAGTAACCCTGCGTTCTCAGAGCGCAGTGTTCTGGTGGGATAATATGGCACTATGAGCTCACTAAGACAGAGAAGAACAACATAAGGAAACTCAAACACTGACTAACTGAATAGACTGAAATTCACCATGACCAGTTCGGACATTAATAACCATCCATCTGACTATGAAAAACTGGACTTGGAAACCTTCAGATACACTAACCACAAATCACAAGACATAGAAAATGACACTGACCCCGAAAATAACTTTTATAACAACACCCACACCGATTGTAACTACTACACGGAAGAACAGTTTAAAAGAAATGAAAAGCGAGGACCAAATTGAAATGGTTCAGATTGAGGGATACGAAATGTACTGTACAAACAGAATTCAATCTAGAGGTGGGGGGATCGCATTGTACATCGATAATAAGTATAAAAGTAAGTCTGTTAGAAATATGTCATTTGTCATGGATAACATCATGGAATGCACCACAGTTGAAATAGAAATGGAGAAATCAAAAAACATTCAAATAAGCTGTGCATATAGAAAACCTGGATCTTGCATCGATACATTCAAGGAAAAGTTTCTTATCTATACAGTAATATAAATAACAGGAAAACTATCATCAGCTGAGGAGATTTTAATATAGATCTGATAAATCCACAGGAACACAATACAACCTCAGAATTCATTAATTCAATGTACAGTATCAGTTTATATCCCTCAATCACAAGACCAACCAGGATAACTAATCACAGTGCTACACTGATGGATAATATATTCACCAATGTCATTGATAAAAAAGTAAAAAGTGGATTATTAATAAACGATACAAGTGACCATCTGCCAGTGTTTGCAATCATACAGAACTGTACCAGGACCAAGAACTACACAGAAACAATGTAAACAATTAGATATAAATCACAGGAAGCCATCACTGCTTTTAAACAAGAGCTAATGAAACAAGACTGGAGTAAAGTATATGTTGAAGATGTAAATGTGGCCTACAATAAATTTATGTCCATAATAACAAATCTTTATGATAAACACTGCCCACTAGTTCAAAAAACAGTTAAACAAAAATATGTTGAAAAACCATGGATAACTAAGGGGATACGAGCATGTAAAAGAAAAAACGTACTATACACCGAATTTTTAAAGAAAAGAACAACACAGGCCAAACACTCATATAAGACATATAAAAATAAACTAACACAAATTATGAGAACCAGTAAAAAGGAATATTACAGTAAATCACTGGAGGAAAATAAAAACAACATGAACAAAACGTGGAATATACTGAAAGACATTATTAAAAAAGGAAGTGGGAGGACAGGATATCCTAAATATTTCTTAACAAAAAATGACACAACCACTGCTGACATGGCCTCAGCTGTAGAGGAATTTAACAAATTCTGGCCAGAGAGATCACAAAGACTGGTAGTAGTGATGGGGTTAAAAGTAAAAATATATATATTAATGGAACAATATTTGTGAGAGGGACTAATGAAAAAGAAATCACTAATACTGTAAAAAACCTTGACAGACAGAATGGTCTTGACATGACTACAGTTAAAAATATCATTGATTGTATAGCTAAACCCCTGTCTCACATCTGTAAACTGTCTCTACAAACCAGGATATTTCCAAATAAAATGAAAACAGCAAAAGTTATACCAATACACAAATCCGGAGACAGACATACACTGTCAAACTACAGACCGGTTTCTCTGCTCCCACAGTTTTCTAAAATACTGGAAAAAATATTTTATACACGACTGGATGACTTCATTACAAAACACAACGTAGTGTATGAACAACAATATGGTTTCAGAGCTAAAAGGACAACATCATTTGCACTCATAAAATTTGTAGAAGAAATCACAACGGCAATAGAGAACAAAGAATATGAGGTAGGGGTATTTCTTGATTAAAAAAAGCATTTGATACAGTAGACCATGAATTATCAATAAAAAAACTACAACGATATGGCATCAGAGGGACCGCATCATCCTAGATATCCAGCTACCTACAAAATAGACTACAGTATGTAGAAATAAATGATAATAAGTCACAATTGCAGGAGATCACATGTGGAGTGCCCCAGGGCTCAGTACTAGGACCATTGCTGTTCATACTATACATTAACAATATATGTGAAATATCAAAAACCCTACAAACAATTCTGTTTGCAGACGACACAAACTTGCTCAGCTGTGGGGACAACTTGGAGCAACTCTTGGACACTGTAGAAAAGGAGCTGAGCAGGATGAAAACTTGGTTTGATCAAAATAAATTAACACTGAACTTAAACAAAACAAAATTCATAATCTTTGGGAATAGATCGACAAACTCAGACAAGAAACTCATGATAAATGATATAGAAATTGAAAGGGTAACAGAAATTAAATTTCTTGGAGTAATAATTAATAGTAAATTAAACTGGAAGCTGCACATAAAGCACATTAATGCCAAAATAACCAAATCATTTGCAATAATGAATAAAGTCAAATACCTATTAAATCAAGCCTCACTATATACATTGTACTGTTCCTTCATACTTCCATACATCAGTTACTGTGTGGAGGTATGGGGGAACAGTCACAAAACAAACACACATCCAGTATTCATCCTGCAAAAAAGAGCAATTCGAATCATAAACAAAACCACATACAGAGAACCTACAAATTCAAATTAAAAACACTAAGGGCCCTATTTAGATGGTCTAAAGCGGACGGCGGACGGCACATGGGCGTGTCCCAGTCACTTGCTAGTTAGATAGCGCGTTTTCACACTGTGCGCCATGGCGGAGAGTCTAAAAGGGTTGGACTTTGTGAATTAGTCATGGGTGTGTTTTGGGCGTATCATTCAATAAGCCAATCAGAGTGTCACCTCTCATTCCCTTTAAGAGAGGCGCAATTGGAGCGCACGGCGGAGAGCTAGTTAGATGGCGGACCTACCAACTGGGAAGAGTGAGCGTTTTACAGCTGAGGAGACGATAAATGTATCTCTGTATCGACTGTCCCGTCACATCTGATGACAGATCAAAGGGGATTGGCACTGTTTGGCACATTTGGCACGCGTAATGGAAACCCAACCTGATTTGATTAACACAGCTGCAATCTAATAAATTCACATCCCTCTCAGCCAACCACAAACAGCCACAGCATCAGATAGGGAGTATATATTCAGCATCTGTCATCTTAGAAAAACCAAAAGAAAAGAAACAGAGTGAGACTACGAGAGAGAAAGAGAGAGCGCATGCACACGGGAGAAACGCTGTCAACAAATTTTAACCTGGGAGGTTAGAGAGCCCAGCTCCCTCTCCAGCATCCTGAACCCCCCCGCCTGAAGTAGCAGGAAGGGCTGGTCCTGTGGCTGCACCCGGGCCCGTCTGGTCTGGCTGCACGCGGGCTGCGGAGCTTCCCCCGGGTGTCCCCGGCTGTGCAGCGGGCTGTGTGGCCGCTGTGTATCCTCTTCCTCCTCCTGACAAGATGATCTTCAGTTTTACGTTCTAAAAGCTTTTTCTTAAAATATACATTTGTACGTGACTCTAAGTTTACATTTTTAGTTCACAGAAGCTGGTTATTGTTGTGTTTATGTCAAATTAAAGTTTATCAAACGTTTTCACATCTTTGATTTTGTGATTTACATACCAAAATGATCACAATTCAATTGGGAAAGACAAGTTCATTTTACAGGCTATGCATCATCAGCCCGTGCAGGTCTGCTCGCAGTTCCTTATATTCGGACACTGCAGCTTGGACCTCCCGGATTATGATGATCATTATTACTGCGATTAGATCATTCTGATTAATGACTGACCATTAAGACGTGTTTCTGATAAATATTTTAATGTGCACAATAATAACCTTTCACATTGTAATCATGTTTTTATTTGTTATCTTTTGCATATGTGTGGCTGCTCTGTGTGTGTCTGAGCGAAGTGCACGCGCGTTGTGCACCCGCCTAGAGACCCATATTACTAACTTGTTTAACAGCAAACTATTGCGCCGTTGACTTTAGACCAGGTTTTTGTTGGTCACTGGCGCATTTGCTTTTCCCGTCATCTAACTAGCAACATGCCATGACTGCGCCTGACCACTCCTCATTTTTAGACGAACACGCCCAGAGAAGCGCAAGTTCATTTGCTAGTTAGACGAAGAGGGCGCAGGGCGTGAAAATGACAACTGCGCCAGCATCTAAATAGCAATGACACTTGCAACATGGATTATTTGCCGTCCGCCGTCCGTTTTAGACCATCTAAATAGGGCCCTAAAATTCCAAGATCTGGTTGATTATAAAATTATTCAAACATGCACAAAGCAATAAATCATCAATTACCTGTCAGTGTCCAAGAGTTGTTCCAATTGAGAGAAAGTAAACATAATATCAGAGGAATCCACATATTCAAGAAACCACCAATCAGAACAACTGCAAAACTTCACTGTATTTCAACCAAGGGTATAAACTTAAGGAACAACAGCAACAATGAGATAAAAACATGTGAAACCTTAAGTAAACTAAAAAACCTATTCAGAAAGAAAGTATTGCGTAAATATGAGATGGAACAGTGATTTTTGTCTTGTTTTGGTAATTGTGTTTTGTCTTGCTGGAGGGTTGTTTGAAAATTCTGGTGTATTTGTCTGTTATTGTATTATATCTTGAAAATCGAACTTTGAGGTTGTTATTTTTCGTTTTTGTTTTTTGTATTTTTTTTTTTACTTAAATTGCACACATACAATATAAGGGGGTAGGACTAGAAAAGTTTTTTTTTTAACTTCTTCTTACCCCTTTTGAACATGACCAATATCATTTAAGTTGTTTATTATTTGATTCTGCTTTGCTTGTTTGTTTGTTTTTTATGTCGTATGCTTTATTTTGTTTGACTTTTTGTTTCTTTGAACATGTTCAATAAAATCAAATCAAATCATCATCAAATCAAATTTCCTCTGCAGGCTGAGTGGCTGTAACCTCTCAGAGAGAAGCTGTGAAGCTCTGTCCTTAGTTCTCAGCTCCCAGTCCTCCAGTCTGAGACACCTGGACCTGAGTAACAACAACCTGCAGGATTCAGGACTGAAGCTGCTGTCCCCTGGACTGGAGAGTCCACACTGTGCTCTGGAAACTTTCAGGTCAGCTCAAGTTACAGATTATTTCAAATTATTAAACGACCTGTTGTTACTGTTGCTCCAGTTCTAATCATTACGTTCGTGAGTAATGTCACTCATCAGAGGGGAAATACATACATAAGTAAATAATTGGATTGATAAATAAATGAATAAATAAGTAAACATAAAACTTCACTATTATATTCCATACAAGAAAAAAAAGATTTCTAATCCAAATTCTGATATGTTGACCATTTTATCCAGTAACTAACACATGTATCCTTAGCTAAATTCATGGAGAAGGTCAACCTTTCCATACTATAAATATCCCTTACAATCCCCTTCCACTCCATTATTGTTGGAGGTTCTTTCATCATCCATTTTCTGGTTATGGCTTTTTTGCTGGCTGTGAGTAGTATTTGAAGAAGGTATTTATCAGAAGGTTTGAGTTTGATTGGAATATTGCCTAAATATATAGTGCTAAAATCATTGTTAATCTCTTCACCAATTATTGCTTTAATCTCTGTCACTACTCCCAGCCAGTAAAGTTGGATTACAGCACAGTCCCAAAAAATGTGAAAATGATCAGCTGAGTGACTCATACATTGCCTCCAACAATATCCACCTTCAGGTTTATCACTTTGTAACTGTTTTATCTTAGGGGTAATAAAAAATCTAATAATGTTTTTCCAAATAAATTCTTTCTATTGACCTGAACTAGATGTAGTTGTTTGTGTTTTGCATATATTTAGCCAATCCTCGTCTGTCAGACTTGTATTGGCTTCTTTCTCCCATTTAGATTTGATGTACATAGTAGAATGATTTTTAGCAGATTGAAGCATGAATAAATTTTAGCAACCAGTTTTCTGTGGAGATTGGATTTGTATGCATCTGTAAATATAT